CGCCTTACCTGGTAGCTCTAGAAGTGGGGTACTGATAACAAATTTTCTTGTGATGGGCGTTCCTTAGATTAGATCACTTTATTCACTGGATCTAAAAACTTAGTATTTCGCTAATAATCTTTAACACTTCGCATTAATGCTACAAAGCGGCATCCCCTTGCTTTTTAGTTTAAAACAATATCCATCCTGCCCGTGTATTACCCGCGCCGAGTTCCGGGCAAAGTAGAGAACTCTAATACAAAAATAGTACTCTTAAGAAGGGAATCAACAAAATTAAATGTTGCGAAAACATTTGCAAGCTTGTTGCTTAAAATGATAGCGTCAATCGTTCTCCATGATCTGTGCTCGAACCACATTACAAATATAAGTCATGATTTTGACACTTGTAATTTTCTGTTGACGACAAAAGTTGCTTAATGTATGATTGTTTGACGATGAAGTGTTTTGTTCCGCTGCTTTTTTTACCTGCCCTGCCGCCAAATCTTCAGGATATTCGATGTTGTTCAATACATATCGATCCAATGCGCAGCCATTCGCATCAAGAATAGGCACCTGATATGTGTAATGGCATAATAATTCGAGCACAACCATTACCAAAAAACGACCTCATCTCCTTTTCCGTCATCCACTGTGCAGCTGTGAACTAACATGCAAAAAGTATCGACTGAAGTATAAGTATTCTAGTTACTTTTGTAAGCTTATGCTAAATAAATGCTCTAACTTGTTTCGCTTTCACAAATCCATTGATGGTAAACCTGCTGACCAATTGTTGCATATTTTACAGGCCTACCATTAGGTCCACCTTCAAGGATCTGAAATGTAGTTAATTATAGTATAGCACTGTCTGCGATAAAGAATGTCCAACGACACTGGCCCGCAGCGTGCATTCAAGCTACGATGGGAGGTGCATTCTCAAATCTTTTTCAATTCTACAAATTTTTGGGTACGAGGACCACGTATCAGGGCTCAGCAGAGGTGGCGCTTTCACACACTGGATTTCGTTTTTAGAGGGCTAAAGAGGGAACCCGTATATTTTCCGAAGAAATTTCTAAAAATTCGAATGTACTCTAAGTCTTAGTAAGTCCAAAACTGACAATGAGGCTTTAACGTCA